TCTAAGCAAAATCAATACCATGGTCAAGGGCAAACATCTAACTCTCAAATACCCAAGGACAAATCACAAGGGTATCAGTCAAATCCACCACCACAAAATTCTTCTCAAGGACCGTCCAATCCATCCACATACCAACCTCCTCACAAAAGAAATTTGGAGGACATGGTCCATTCCTTCATTCAAAGTCAAACCGCCATCAATAACCAAAATGCCACAACCATCAATGATATAAAAGCCCAACTCACAAAGTTGACAAACTCTTTAGGGGCATCTCAATAAGAAAAGGGAAGTTCCCGCTCAACCACAAGAGAACCCTAGGGGTCAACACGTTGTTGAGTCATAGGAGCCTTTGAGAGAGAGTTGTGAGCAACTCAAGGCTGTCACCACCCTTCGTAGTGGCAAAGAAATTGACAAAACCATATTGCCAACGGTCTCACCCAAAACCACATTGCCAAAAGAAAAGCACATCTTGGGTGACGCCGACAAGGGTGAGGTGAGTGAAGAAAAAGAAAGAGAGGTTGTTGAGAAAGAAAAATTGAGTGATGAATGTGATTTTTTTCGTCCCATGCCTGCCCCTTTCCCGAGTCGTTTGAAGCCACCTGTCAAGGTGGCTAACTATTCTGATATTTTGGAAATGTTTAAGCAGGTGAAGATTAACATCCCACTCCTCGACGCCATCAAGCAAATACCGTTATGTGCCAAAATATTAAAGGATCTATGCACGGTGAAGAGGCGATTGAATGTCATATGGTTATCTGTACATCCTCCTGGCAGTGGACTATGTGTCCAAATGGGTGGAGGCCATCTTGACCAAGATTAATGACCATTGGGTCGTAGTCAAATTCCTTAAGGAGAACATCTTTTCGAGGTTTGGGATGCCTCGTGCAATCATAAGTGATGGCGGATCACATTTTTGTAATAGGTCATTCGCTTCATTAATGTGCAAATATGGCATCACTCACAAAGTATCCACTGCCTATCACCCACAAACAAATGGTCAAGCCGAGCTAGCCAACAGGGAGATAAAGGGTATTCTAGAAAAAATGGTTAACCCCAATAGGAAGGATTGGTCCGATAAACTGACCGATGTCCTATGGGTGTATTGTATTGCCTATAAGACTATTTTGGGCATGTCTCCCTACCGGCTTGTCTATGGAAAGGCTTGCCATCTGCCAGTCAAAATGGAACATAAGGCCTATTGGGCCATTAAAACTTTAAATTTCAATTTGAGAATGGCCGGTGAACATAGGAAGTTGGAAATGAATGAGTTGGAAGAGATTCGACGAAATGTGTATGAGAGCTCCAAAATCTCAAAGGAACGGGCTAAGATATTTCACGATAATTCCATTATACGGAAATCATTTTGGCCCGGTCAAAAAGTGTTCTTATACAATTCTCGCTTCTCAATTTTTCAAGGAAAGCTCCGATCCCATTGGGATGGCCCCTATCTTGTTGAGGTGGTCAACCCCAATGGAGCTATGGATGTGAAAAACCCCGAAGATGGCCAAACATTCAAGGTCAATGGCCAAATACTCAAGCCATTCTTTGAGGGTTTTGTAGGGGAAGAAGTGGCAGAAGATTTGACGGATCCCGTATATTCGGATTTGATGGAGAACTAGCTAGTGTTTATGATTTCTAGTGTATAGTTATTTTCGTTTACTTATGTTATTTCTATTTCATGTCACTTACTTTTGTTGGTTGCATAGCATTGTTTTCTTAGTTTCAGATCTTGGTGCTTTTGTTGAAACTCAATCGCGAGGTGTTCTCTAACCCTATTCATTTATTTTTTTACTGTCCTTCATTGCATATTATATCCTTTTGTTGCATTGAGGACAATGCATGATTCAAGTTGGAGGGTGAGGTGCACCATTTGCATAATACACCAAGGTTGTTAGGAAATTGGTGTGAAATTTTTGTGATATAGATTTTTGCTTGTATTAATGAAAAATATGTGAAATTTTTGATGAAAAATATCTTATTGTTGATCTGTATTCCTTCATGAAAAATGTGTGAGTTGGATTACATGCTGATCTTTGTTGTGAACTTTGTGCACATGAGCATTCTATGGAAGTTGATCCTATGTATGAGTATCACATATGTATTTATTTTTGAACTCACCTGTATGTGACTCTTGAATGTGTAATTTCGACAATTTACGGATTGGATTTATGTTTTAAGCTTGACATAAGTAGTGGAGATGAGTAAAGACCCATGGGAGCTTTAGAGCCAAATCCTTTTTAGAGGGACTCAAAGAACAATTTTTCAATGTCAAATTTATTCAATAGTCTCATTATGCTTGTTTTGGTTAGGTGCATTTGGGATAGTAGGCTAACTTGTTGTAATTGTATAATGCTATTCCGTGCGGACCTAGAAGTGATCTTAGGCCATCCTTGAATATTTTGAGCCTTTGCCCTTTTTCTTGAGAAATTATTTATCCCTAGTTCCATGTTCAAGCCTTGTTGAAAATTTGTTTCTATGCCACACATTAAACCAAGCCATGGAAAAATGAAAAATATCTACCTTACCTTGGTTGTGCCTAAAGCAAAAATGAGTGATTGCAAAAGAAGGAAGTGTGGTGTGGAAATTCAAGCAAGGGATGATGAATGTGAACTCAAAGAGTTGGACAAAAAAAAAAGAATGAAAAGGAAGGAAAGGGGTGAGAAGATGAAAGAATGATCGAAAGAAAAATAAAATGTTAAGGAAAAGAAAGAAAAGAAACAAAGGGTGTAGTGATGGTGTGGGAATCAATCCCATGAAAAGGGAAGTGTTCTTCAAAATAAAAGTCTCTCACTCGGAACAACCCTCTTTGCTATCCTATATCCTTCATTTCATTTACCTAAATATCACCCCAAGGCCCCATTATAACCCTTAAAGTCTAAAGTGATCTAGAGAAGCATGGAAGGTGCATGATTTCAAAGGAAACAATGAGTTAAGTCTTACTGTCTAATGCCCTAGCATTTTCTTCATAAGACTATGACAAGGCCGCTTCATTTTCATTTATGAACTTCATTTTTGGATTACATGTGAACACGTTGTTTTGGACACAAGATTCTATCTCACATGTACACATAGAGTGCATACCAAGATAACTTGAGTGTATTTCATTGCTTTGGAGTGACCTTTGGTGAGTTTTTGCATTGAAACTGAATTTGTCTAGCTATTCGAATGTGAATTCTGTTGCATAAATGCTCAAATTACTTGTTTAATTCACACACACATGAGTTGAAAATAAATTTGTAGGTGCATACTTTAGACTAGTGTCTAAGACTATGGTGTTGCTCATGTACACTTAGTTCAATCATTTGAGAAATTTGTTAAAAAGCTCCATGCTTGTAAGAATAAGGGAATATTGCTCAAGTTTTGATATTTTAGATGAATTAGGAATACCCATGTTTCTAATCATGTGATTTGCATTTTCAATATTCATTTTGGTAGTTTAAAGTAGAAATCCATGCCCTTTACGTTGAAACATCAAAATCTTAAATCATGTTACAATTTCGGAAATGGCTTTGGGCATGATTTGCCAATTGTGGTTCATAAGTGTGCTTCAAGTCCTTGGTAGGATAGGCATCTTAGAAAGGGTGTAAGATGTGTTGGAATTGAGTTAGGATGGATTGGATGTGAATTTTTGAATAAAGGATTGGTTTTGCAGCAAAGGCAAAACCTTCCGGAAGGTTTTGATCGACCTTTCTGAAGGTTTTACCTACTGATATTTTTAAACAAAGGCCGTAAGCAAAATCTTCCGGAAGGTTTTTATCGACCTTCTGGAAGGTTTTGCCCAGAAAATTAAAAACAAGGGTTTTAAAATCGAAAAGTTTGGAAAACCTTTCACATTTCCAATCCATCTCTTGCCCTCAAACCCTCGCCTCCCCTTCTTCTCTCTTCTGACCTTCAAATTGCTTCCCCCAAATCTTAAAATCCTTATTCTCTCTCGATTTAGGTTCACTTTTAGGGTGTTTTATCCGAAAGAAATAAGCAAACCCTATATTTCCATTTCCCCTAAAATTCTGAGTTTCTATTTAATTTTCCCCAATCTCCACAACTTCTTGGTGATGGCTCGTACAAGAGTGATGTCCATGGAAGTAGTTGATGTCGTTGAGAGTTTGTGGAGGTTCTTTTTAGTGGCTCTTGGGTTAGGGGCACTGTTGATGCTCATGGCCTGGACCAAGAGCACTGGCCCCGGTGCTTCTCCACCCTCCTCTGGCTCCATAACCAAGAAGAGGACCGGTGAGGGTCCTAGCTCCCAAGATAAGGCGGAGCGGAGGACAAAGGCAAGACACGACGCTCGCAAGCAACGTATCGAGGAAAAGGGCGTGACGTGTGAACGCTAAATGGATAGAGTTTTCGTTGGGACCTAGGAACGAGGTGGTGAAAATTATTGAACAACGGGGTTGAATTTGTGGTTTAAGGAGGTCAAGGGGTACAATTTAGGGATGTGTCATGAATTTTACCAGAAGTTGGTTGTTTTTGTGACAATGGGAGTAAGCTAAAGACGGTTGTGAGGGGCAAAGCAATTGAGGTGACCCCAGACTCAATAGCCACAACGATGGGGTACGTAAGACCTCCCCCGACTATTGAGGTCTACCCACACAATGTCGAAAAGGGTATGACTCTCAAGGACTACATGGCCCTCATCTATGAGGACCCGACCACGTTCACGGGAACAATGTTGGTGAGGGCCTCAAGCATGCATACAGGGTCATGAATAAAGTCCTCCATTATAATATGATGCCCCGGGCTTGGAGAAAAACCCAAACATTGAGAAGCTTGCATTACTGCATGCCTTTATGACTGGAGTTGCCATTGACAAGGCATATTACATTTGGTTGGAGATGAGAGAGTTTGCCCAGGCTACAAAGCCAAAGGCAAATCTCCCTTTTGGTAGTTCAGTCACCTGTCTCTGTGATCAGGCTAAGGTAAAACACTATGCCCAAGATGTTCTCCTCTCCCCGGACACTAGAGCAATTGGGAAGTCCAGCAGCAGCAAGAGAGCTACTAGGACTGGGAAAGAGAGAGACAGGACCCCGAGGCCACAACTGTTAGACGTTGGCGCATCTTCTTCAACACCCCCACCACCTGCACCTACTCCGGCTCGCACCATGTCGCAGTGCATGGATGCTATAGAGTCAACTATGTACAGGATGTCTGAGATGTTGATACAGCTATTCCAGCATACCTTCCCGGGAAGGTCTATTCTCAGAGGACCAACACCATAGCCTTTAACTCCGCTTCCGTTCCCGTGCCTTCTACGACTGTGGAGGTGGGAGATGTTGATGATGACGAGGAAGAGTTAGAGTCCAAGTCCAAGTCCGAGACTGAGGACGAGGATGTTTTCGACAGGGATGATGATCATTAGGGGGATTTTTTGTTTTTATTTTGAGTTTTTGGTTGTACACAACTGGGGTTTCCCGTATCCGCCAGTAGAAGTGTCATTAGGTTGGTCGTTTGGTTTTTGGGACTTAAACACATTGTAAAGAAATTTTTTAAGTGATTAATAGAAATACCACAGTTGTTACATTTTCATCCGTGCCCAAGCTATTTCCTTAATTGCAATATAATTTGTGGATCTTGAGTTGTTGTGAATTTTACTTGTATGAATGGATGAGTTTTGTTTAAAATTTTATAGCTATGCTTGGAAATGATGCTCTCTAGGGACAAGCAAAACTCAAGTTGGGGAGTGTGATTAGCACAAAAACATGACATATATTGTGTGCTAATATGCCTTTTGTACTTGTTTATAGTCATGAATTTTGGGAGAAATGTGCTTAACTTTTGTTTTGATGGAGTTTGTGTGAATGCAAGGAAAACAATGTAAATGGTATGAGTTATACCCCCATTGAAGTGGTTGAAGTCAATGAAGAAGAGGGGAGTAGCTTAAAGGAAGGTTTGGAGGGAGAAGAAACCAAGAAAATGGAATTATGTTGAAGACCTTCCGGAAGGTTTGGGTAAAGACCTTCCGGAAGGTTTGGGTAAAAACCTTCCAAAATGTGTTGCTTTAGATTTCTTTTTCACTGCCAAAACCTTCCGGAAGGTTTTGTCTACCAGAATGAACCTTCTTGAAGGTTTTGCCTACTGGAGTGAACCTTCTGGAAGGATTTTCCTGCTAACCCTTTCATTGAACTGTTCCTGCACAAACCTTCCGGAAGATTTTATATCGACCTTCCAGAAGGTTTTTGCTAAACTTCCCAGACAGCCTGTAACTCAACTCTGTAGCTTGGGGGCCCCACTTGCACTTCTCCAACAGACCCCCTGACATCCCCTGCACGTCTAGGAGCCTCCCCTCACCTCTACTTGGACTATGATGGATTTTGTATTAATGAAGGGAGAAAGAAGAAGCTTGGCAGAGAGAAGAATAGGGGTTGGTCCTAGTCTGCACCATGTAGACCCTATGGATGGAAATCACATCACTCAGCTGAGAGGGAACTCCAAGCACGTTTTTGGGGGGGAAATGACTCGATTGTTCATTATTCTAGGATACACAGAGATATATATATATAGAGAGAGAGAGAGTCTGGAGAAGAGAAAATATAGTGTGTAGTGAGAGAAAATGGAGATTTTTGCATTTCTTCCAATAAATTGTCTTGTAATCTCTGGTATGAATCTGTAAAACTTCATTTAATGTCATTAACATTGTTTTCTTTCAAGTTGAATGCAAGTTTAATGCTCTTTTAAAGCTTTCACCATTAATGCTTGAAGGTTCTTCAATTTCGTAGTTTCCAAATGGGTATTCAATATACTCTCTTATAGCTTATGTTTGCTTGTATCTAGTTACTCTAGAACTTCAAATCTTTGCAATACATTCTCATTACATTGTCAATTTCATTTTTAGCATGAGTACCTAAATCTTTTAGTTGGCAAAACCAAGGGGAACCTCCATTTGGGTATACCATTTCAACTCATTCTCCTCCTTCTTTCAGAGTTTAATGATTCGGTTTGACTGGGTTGAGGGAGGATAAGTAGTGATTCTTTGATATTCCGTAGGCCTAGCCATGATTTATACTTAGATACTCGCCAATCTTATCCCTAGCTTCCCACGAATCAATCGTTCATTCATGCTCTATTGGAGGAGGGTTTCGAGTTGAGACGGTATTCCTATTGCAGTGACCTCTTGGATTTACCAACATTTGATTCTCATTTGATTTGCATCAAAACAAACTTCACCAAACAATTTCCAACAACCAAATATTTTACACTTTCTTTTTACCAAAATACCTTCCCCTTGGTTTACTTCCTTCCCTGTGGAAGCGACCTTGAAATACCACCAAGTAAAACACGACCCTCAAAAGTCTCCTTGTGCTTGGAGAGCACTTTTGTACACACACACATATTTGTTGTGCATTTACACATCACATTACCATCATCTCATTTACACCCATCTCCTTGCCCTTTCTTTTGACATCACCCATAGGAGAGTGACACTTCCCTTCATCCATATACTATACATGCTAAAAAAGTGATGTTTAGAGGTTAGGAGACAACAAGGAATTTTGTCAAGAAGCCAACATAATTTATATAAAAAAAAAAAGGTGAGTCATCTTATGGTTAGGTGGGTGTGTGTAATTAATGGTGTAAAAGTGTGTGTGTGTGTTTTAGCCTGCTAGAAACCGAGAGTGAGGGAGAGTAAAGGAGAAAGAAAAAATATATATATGTGTGTGTCCATTTGAGCCGAGAAAGATAGGGAAGGAGAAATCAAGGGTTTGGAGGGGGTGTTTTAGTTTCAACCAAGAGAGAGAAGAAGAAAGTATATATGATTAATTTTAGTATATATTTATATGTGGAAGCTATTTTGTTTTAAATTAGTGGCTATTTTAATTTAATTCATGGATTATTTTTGTTAATTTTAATGGGTTGTTTTAGTTTAATTTCAAAACATATTTTTGTGAGTTTAAATTAAGTGTGTTAAACATAAATTAGTAGGCTATTTTGTTTTAAATTAATGGGATGTTTTATTTTAAATTCAAAACAGATTTTATTAAGGGTGTTAAACATAATTTAGTGACGGTTAAGAATAGGTGTTAAATGGGTATTCAACCGAATGTGCGAAAAGAGTGGAAATGACTATTTGAGATATTTGGGAAGCTTTTAGTGGGCTAGGTTGGAACTAAAATTATGGGAGTGAAATGGGTGGTTCAAAGGTTCAATTAGGGGCACTTTTACATTGATTAAATGTGTATGTGAATTTAAGTGTAGCGGTCTTAAAAGAAAAGAGCGATAGAGGTTGGAAATGGGTGTCGGCAATGCCGAAACCCTGATTTCTAAATGTTATTATCACATGAGCGAATTTTAATCCAAATGACCCAAAATTTTGCATGCTGCATTTTTAAATGATGCTTAATGTGATAATGTGAATTTTGAATGCAAACGAGTATAATATCCAGCGCGAAATATATGAAATGTCAGAAGTGTAGTTTTCAAGATTTGGGGTCAAAATGTGTGAAAATGGGCCCGCAGTCAATGTGTTTGACCTAATTAATCCTAATTGTGATTAATGGGAGTGATTTTGGAGATTTGGGAAGAAAATGTGATCCCTAGAACAAAAGTTCTAGTGTGTGAGTAGATAGTGCGGTAACCGGAGTTACCGGGGTACTTTGGGGTGCATCATTTAGCATGCATTAGTGCATGATTAACTATTAAATGTGATAAACATATTGATATTTTAATTACAAATGTGTTAGGTGGAACGGGTGAGACAGTCGATGTTGGAACAGATATGGTAACACCGAAATGATCCACCAATAGAACCGAAGAGCTGTAGATCTATATATTTACGGTGGGTGTATATCTTTATATGTTTTGGAAATGCTATTATAGAAAATAGTAAGTGATAGAATATAATAGCAATTCTCCAAGATTATGTGTTATGTGCTTATATGCCGCCACTTTTTTTTTGTCTTGAATGATATTAAGGGTGGTTGTGTTTCAATTGTTCCTTGTGAAAGAAGTTTTATTTTAATTGTAATGAATACTACCCAGACTTCTTGCTTGTCTATAGCAATGGAGCGTGAGTAGTCGTTTATACCCTCAAGTGTGAGGGGAACATATGTATATTACTGTTTAGATTATGGAAATGCTGATGTTTTATTTATACGTTTATTTATATATGTATTATATGCTTAATGCGTGATATAGTGATGTGTATAATTCTGGTGCTGTGCCTTGGATTATATCATCAGTATATCATAAGACCCGCCGGTCTAACAACCACGGCGTTTCTATCGGTATGGCTTTGCTTCCACCGAAATGCTGAGGAAGTTGATTGATGTGTGGTACAAACCTAAATGATTCTCATGAATGGCTTGTCCTTCTGGATTATTAGGGTTGATTATTATTA